CAAGCGGGGCTGTGCGTGGTCTCCATGTGCTCTCCCCTTCTTTGCGCAGTGAACGGGCTCCAGGCTCGGACCTTTGGCGTCTGGACCCTGCTGTCATCAGTGATCCGCTGTCTCTGCGCCATCGACATCCGCAATAGGACGTATGTAAAGGAGCACCGGAGAAATCCTTCTCTTTGCTTGCTAGTCACAACCTGAGCAGCTAGCTTAGAGGGCAGTGCAGAGGAGGTGGGGAATCAAAAACTGTTCCTGAAGTTTCTATAGGGTTGAAAGCATTTCCCCGAAAAAGCTTAAATGACAGTGCAGGATTTGTGTGTTAACTGCTGCTCCCTTCTGCCTCTGTGGGGAGAGCCTGTGCATTTGAGTTCTGTTTCTTAGCTCAGGCAGAAATTGGTAAGATTTGAGAACTTCTTATGTCACAAATTTCTGAGCTTCAGCTTGGAAAGCATCTTCTGATGGTGTTGCTGCTTTGTTGACATGAAGCAATTGCTAATGCTGTGGTCTGACTGATGCTGGGTACGTCTTTTCCTCTGACAGCTCAGCTAAAGGCTGTGGCAGGTTGAGAGGCCCCTTGCAGTGGGGCTACCCGTGCTCTGCTACCTTCTTCCATACGCTCTCCTCTGTGACTGAGGACAAGGCCTGTGGTGCAGCCTGATGCTGTGGTGAGAGGCAGGCCATTTCTCCCTGTGGCAACAGAGGTATTTCTGAGAGGGATTTCCAAGCAGGCTGACTCTGGGTCTGTGCTAGACAAAGCCTGTGTTGGAAGTTGCTAGAACTCGCTCTTTTGTCACCGCCTGCTCCAGCCCTACAGCAGAAGTCACTGTTCACCTGGCAGCGTGTCCTTGGATTGCCTAGGCTTGTCTGTGGTAGAGAGGTGCAGAGATTCAATTAGCTGTTTTTAGGGGGTGGTATCAATGCCTATTATCATAAAGCCAGTTGTTTCTTAGAAGATTTTTTATCTTGCATCTCTTGGACCTGGCTCCCTTTCCACAGCTGTGGCCCCTAGAGGGTAGCAGAGCACGGGTGAGAAGATGTATTGGGTGATGCAGCCTGGAGTTAGCCAAGTCCTGTCGCCCTAATTCTCAGCTCATCCCCAGTTCTTGCCCTCTTTTTGGGTGTGCACATGCTTCTCACTTCACCGGTGCCCTACCCATGCTCTCCCCTCTTCACCTGCATTCAGGCCAGATAGTGCCTGTGACTTTCAATGCACCATTTGAACACCCTGCCCCATTCTCCTCTCAGCTTGTGCCCAGGGAGCTTTTGCACCTCACTAGGTAAAGGACCAAGTGCCCTCTGTGCTGCCACAGTAAGGACAGACAGGACAGCATGCAGATTTGCCTCTTTTCCACTCAGCCATGTTCGTGCCCATACTATGGGCTATATGATAACCTGCTTCTTTCTGCTCTCCAACAGCCTGTATTATATCACGCTCTTCACCTTCTTTTTGGCCCTTATTCACTTCCTTTCTGAGGTCTTCATTTACCACACTGCAGCTTTGACAATTGGAGTTATGGCACCCCTCATGGTAGCAAGTAAGTAGAGCTTTGCATCCTCCCCCTCTGCATCCCCCTTGGAGCTATGACCCCCCAGAAAAACTCTCCATGGGGCTCTGTGCCAAGGGCAGGGAGGGAATGGTGGGAGGGAATGTCTCATCTCCTGTCCAGCATTTTCTACACAACCTGTCCTGTATCTCAAATCAATCACAGGTTTCTCCATCTTGGGGATGTTGATTGGGCTGCAGTACCTGGAGGTAGAAGCACTGTCACAAAACAAGAAGAAAAACTGAAGCTCAGGGCCCTGTGTAGGTCAGCCTTGTCTCCCGTCTTCACTGCCAAACTTCCACTAAACCTTGGCTGAACTTCTCCAGGATACTTATTCCTATGGGTGGATCAGTGTTGGACTCCATCAGTCATTCTTCATTAGCAAGTGTGTTTTCTTGTCCAGGCAACACTTAACTGACTGATGTCAAAGACCAAGTCCCAGAGGAGTTTGTGTCAAAGCTTGCTGGGGTCAGTTGGTGACTGCCTCCCTGGAGGATAGCAGGCAATGTCTCAGGTGTGCCCAGTGCACTAAGGACTTCTCTCCCAGTGTACCTGTGAGGAGGAGGTGTACAGCTACCTGGGATCCACTGAACACTTTGGACCAGAGAGAACGTGTGCTGCCTCTGGCACTGCTGTGTAACTTGCGTCTGTGTGTTCCTCAGGGGCCATTTCTAATAAATGACAGAAAAGGGCAAGGTGCTATGTCTGTCTGTCTGCTACACAGCAGTGGGTAGAGGATGTACCTTAGAGCAAACAGCAGTTTCTGTTGTGTGTTGCAGGATAAATCATCTCTCTACAGCAAACCCACCTTCCCCTGACTCCTTCCCACAGAGTTCCAGGTCTGACAGCTCACACAGTACACATGTTGTTGCAGCTCTTGCCTCTGCAGCAAACTGCATGCATCTATGAGTGAAGACTGAGCTACCTTTGCAGTGAGCTGTAACTACAGAAGATGGGGAAAACAGGAACAGGTTGTTTAGACCTAGATGAAATAAGGCCCAAAACAGATGGGCAGTGCACAGAAGGGAGGAAGGAACCAGGAGGATCTCCTAACTAGGAAGACTGCATGTGCAGAAGAAAAATACAGAAGGAAGAGAGCACAACAGTAGCACTGGGGAGAAAGATGATTTTTTTCCATTTTAAAAGAGCCAGATGTAGACTGTTTCAACCATTTAATATGAAAGTCTCAGGTTTCATTGTACACTTCAAATGTTTTTATTTTACATAAAAACTTATATTGAAAAGCCATTTTAGACCCCCATCCTCAATCCTAAACTATCAAAGATAGGACTTGAATTTTTGAATGTGTCAAAAGACTGTATAATTTCACCCAAAAATGTTGTCAAAAATGGTATGTCAGAGAGGACTATTTTTATCCATTCCACCTAGTTGTGGTTTTTCTCCCTCCCTGCCCTTGCCCCCTCCCCCCCCAATGATGTATGCATAACTGCACCATTTAAGGAGTATAAGGACACTTGATGTCTCTATCAGTGGAGGGATACTGGAAAGAAGGATAAGGGATATAAGGATCTACAATTGTATGTAGAAGATAAACAGCAGCATAGAGAGTGTCTACGAGACACAAATGCTGGTAAGAGGGCTTCTCCTCCTGTCCTCTGTTAATAAAATGGAAAGCTTCCACACTGGCACAAGCCTGGATTCCCATCATACTCAAACCCCTCTCTGTGAAGAGCAACAGAGCCTTGCTTGGTTATCTCAATATAATACTTCACAAAGTTTTTATCTAGTGTTGAAGCATGCAAAAGGCACTTTATCATTAAGGAAGAAAACAGAGTCAGCCGAGGGAGCTTGTGGTTTGACTCACTCCTGTTGCTAGTGTAGTGATAAACTGGGCTTAGGCTGTAGCTTCAACATAAGCTGCAGAACTAGTCCTTGCCTCCAGGTAGAAGGAGGCATATTGGTGTCTCTCAATAACTCCTAATATATAGGAACATAAGGGCAATCTCAGTGAATCAAAGTAGAGGTTCATCCACAGATTAAGTGCTTCACCTGGGACAGCCGGCACTTGCTGGTTATATGCTGAGGCTTCTACCATCACCTGTGCAACACACAGCATCATGGGCACCGAGGCAGAGTAATCCCTCTTCCCAAGAGCCATCTGAAAGCTCTTCCAGAGCTGCTCACAGAGTAAACATGGTCCAGCTTCTGCATTTCATGTCACAGCTTGCCTGTGAGAGGAGACACAGCCACATGCAGGGTGCTACCCTCACATGCTCATGGCTAGCCCAGGACTATGGCTTTTCTCAGCATATGTGCTTTTTCAAGCATACGTAGTGGGGTGTCGGGGAGCAGTGGGTTTTCCCTGCTTTTCCTCCCAAGCAGCAAAGTCTCCAAAACAGCAAGATGTAGAGGTATAAATGAAGAGAACAACTCCCTTATTGTTTTGCTCTTTAACACTCTCCACAAGCAGTTCAGCGGGCTCCTGCCCCGCGGCTGCCCGCCCTGCCATGGTGCACATACAACAGGAGGATGGTGTAGGTAGCAAAGATGGGAATGAGGGGGGCTGCGTCTCCCAGCTCTGCCACCCCTCCATTTCACAGCTTTGATTCCTCAAGGACTATGGGATCAGTGCAGGCTTCTGGAATCGCTTTCTGCAAGTCAGACAGAGAAAAACAATATGGTTAGGATCCTGGGTGGCCAGACCCAGGCTTCAGAGAGACCAGCTGGCCAGAGGCTGGCTAATTTGCAGCTCCCTGCTAGTGTGCAGAAATCCCCAAAGAAGAATCACCATCCTCAGAGAGTGCGCCTTGTTCCCTCCTCCCTCTCCAGACCCTTCTACTGCCCAGACTAGGGGCACTGAGGCAGCAGGGCAGAGCAAGAGTCACACTTCCCTTAAGCTACTTGCTGTAGTCGTCAGACCACAGTTAATTCACAGATGCTGTACAGGCCCAGGTATCAGACCCACAGCCAGCTCACTGAAGACATACTGTGACACAAGATCAGCCTTGAAGTGGTGAAGCACCAGGGCCAGTTCTCTAGGCAAGGGAAGGAACTGGGAACTCCTCCTTTATGCCATAGGGCAGCACAGTGTCTGTGCAAGTACTGGAGAGAAAGCGCATCCTGTGCACCCTCAGGAGGCCCAGCACAGTGACTAGCTCCTCTCTGTCCTTGCTCTCTCATGTCTGAGGGCCCCTTCAACTCCCAGACAGATTGCTGGTTCTGCTCATCTTCAAGTCTTTTCATCCCCAGTCCTCATTCACAGCTGGCACCCTGTGCCTCACTTCTTCCCTGTCCCCAGCTTGGACTTACAGCTGGGATAATTCCACAGAGTGGTACACATAAGGCCTTCTTTGAAGTTCATTACTCATCTCTTAAAGAGCCATAAGAAATGGGGCAAACATACACAACCTGTTTTCTGCATAAAAATCCTATAGAAGAATTAGCCTGATTACTTGAAGCCTCCTATAATTTCTTCCCTTAAGATGGGGGGAACTGTAGAGTCATTTCCCAGAGGAAAAGCAAGGAAAACTAAGAGTGCTGCCCAGTTACCACCCTATCTTGGGCTGCATGAAGCAGTCAAGTTTTTGCAATTCCAGTTTGGTCCTCCTGTGTGGAGCTTGATGAACTCCTCTGCTGAGCCTTTCTGGGGTGTGTTAGGATTAGACCCAAGACTTCTCCTTCCCCCAGGGGATTTCAAATAATTCTTCTCAAGTTCTGACTGCTTACAGTGAGACACCCCAGTTGTCACCGATTCAGAAGACAGCATGCAGACTTGTAAGGGTAAATGCGGAGTCTCCCACAGCCTGGGCTCTGAGTTAAGTCACTGTGGGGCAAGACTGACATCTGAGGCAGGAGTCAGAGGTGCACAGGAAGAGAGGTTCACATTCCCAGTGCAGTTCAAGAGAAGTCCAGGCAGCATGGAAGCAAGAGATATGAAACAGTTTCATTTTGAGTAGCCTCTTATACAAACTGCAGGTGAAAAGTTTTTAGAGAGGTCAGCAGCAATTTCCCAAAGCAGACGAGCGAGATCAGGAAAGCTTCAAAGAGATGCCTGGAAGCAAAAGCCAGGATGAGGGGTAGGGCAGTACATGAAGTAGTGCCAGAGGTAGGAGTAAGGGAAAAGCTGCATTTAGGCTTGGGAAACCCCACCATAATGCATCATGGAAACATGCCGACAACTCTGAACAGGCTCCCTAGGCACCTCTGGGGTCTGAACACCACTCACCTGCTGTGGAGCTACAGTAACAGAAGTTTAGGAGATCAGCCAGCCTGCAGGGCTCCACCGTCTTGGGGAAGGGAGGCTGCTCTCACAGCTGGGAAGCACAGTACTGGGAAAGGGCATGGAGGCGGCTTGCCCGTGGCTTTGGGATAGGAGGAGAAGGCTGCTTTGCCACACAGCTAGCACAGAAAGGGAGCAGGGAAGTTTGGGAAGCAGGGGAGGGGGTACACACCATTTGTGCCTACCATGCAGAATACCAGCAGGGTGGGTTTGGGGGTTTTTTGTGGTGTTTTTTTTTGTTTTTTTTTTTATTGGCAGTATTTCACTAGACAGTAAGCATGCTACGGCTTGCAAGGGACTCCAGTAAGCTACTGAGGTTGGATGCTCGCCCTAATGCCCTAAGCCAGCCTCTAAATCACACTGGTCTTGGGAGGAAAAAAAAATACCTAAAACATGCTTTTGGGTATTCCACTGAGATCCATCTGATGCATCTTTGATCCAGGCAAACACAGAACCAGCGAAAAAAGGTACTTGGCTCTGAGTCCTGACTTATTCACGACATGGTTTGAAGACACAGCAGAACTTCAGTCCTGTTTTAAACAAATCCTTTGCTGTGGCTGTACCCCTAGAGCAGGTCACTGGTCATCCAAAATCATCCACTCAGCAGTGCTTAACGCTGCCGGTAGCATAACACTCTAGACAAATTTTAATTTTATTACAATTCAAAAACCAGGACAAAATCTGAAACCACTTCACTGCCTACTTCCTGCTATCAAGAATAGGTGCTTCACGCACAGACACAAATTCAGTTTATCTACCACTATATAAGACCGGCACAAAGTAGTCTCAAGTGCCCTGAACCCACATTAATCAAATTTCCAAGTTTCAAAGAGACCTAGCAAAGGCCAGTTTGAACAAAAAGACAGTCCTGCCATTTTGGAATTCTGCACTCTATATGATAGCTACTTTCTTAAAAACCCACAAAAGCTTAAAAGTATTTCCAAAGAAATGTTTGCTAAGACTTTTCTTGAACAATTCACTCCTGAATCAAAACAAACCATGGAA